ATTCTGCAAACTGAACATGACTTTCAAATTTGGGACTGATGCTGCACACACTTATGGATGTGCTTAACTCTGCACATGTAAGGTGAGGAATCCAACTGAAGTCAATGGGGTTTGTCACTTGTGTTAACTTAAACCGATGTGTAAGCCCATGCAGGAGCCAGCCTAAGTCTGAAGTGTGTCCAGTGTGCACATTCCTGCGTTCTGGGTGGCTGTTCCCCTCAGAACGCATTGTCTATCGGCCCACACTATCCTAGCCCTTACAGGGTTTCTTCCATTTCAGAAAATAAAACAGCATCTCTCACCCATTACATCTCAATAATATTTAATCATTGGACATTTCAGTATGATAAAAACAATAATTATAACTGGAGGAGGTTTTCTGTTATCTTGGAAACAACCATCTCTTGAGCTAATAAAAACCTGTGACTTTGGTCCCAGCACTGATTTAACTCAGGTGATGGTTATTACCTCATAAACAGCAAGCGCCATTCAGTTATTATCTCAGCGCACGGAGTTTTGGGGCAAAACCCTTCACAAAGTGCCAGCGGTTAATCCATTAAAAATGATCACATGTTGCCTCTATAAAGTGCCTGTCCCAGAAGCTCTGGGAAAACACTAGCCAATTAAATAGGATCTGACCTTAGATATGTTCAGGGTCAGAATTTCATGCCTCCAATGACCTGATCCTGCAAGGAGCTCCCTGTGGGCAGACTTTCTGCCAGCATGAAGCTCCATCAATGTCCCTGTAGTGGCTAGGTAGAATTTACAGAAAATACAGATATTAATTCTATAAGCCACCCACACATAAAACTACTGACACTGCTGCTATTAATACACTGCAAATTGCAACAAAGTTGTCAAAGATAAGTAATAAGCAAAGCAAAACAGCATAACACCAAAACAGGAGGCAATAATCATTCTAAAAATAAAGGTTAAAGCGAATTAACACCCCTTTATGCTGTGCTCTGAAGGCCGCCAATCTCAGGTGCTGGTGAGCCACCCAGGAAAGGGCAGGTGAATTCACTTCTATGCAGAAGGCTGCACAAAGTCTGTGCACCACTTAAGTCCAGCTTATGCACCCTTAAAATAGGGCTTGAGTGGAACTTCAGTGGTGCACAGGCTTTGTGCTTGACCTCTGCACAGGGCAGAATTTCACCCAGCAAGAGTATCACAACTGATTTGAGCAGCGGTTAGATATAGGGTGAGACGCCATCATCTCTGAGTCATGGGGCCAGACGCTCCACTGGTGTGACTCAGGATAGCGCTGCTGAAGCCAGGGGAACTACACCAGCTAACACCAACTCCGAAACTGGACAATTGATTTTTAATGCCAGAGAGGACCGTTATGCTCATCTAGTCTGACTTCCTGCTTAACACAGGCCATAGAACCTCACCCAGTGATTCCTGCATTTAGCTCAATATGTTCTCCAATCTCCAATAAGATTAAAGCAACTCAAAACCAACCCAGATGCTGAACGTTAGTTTTAGTTGCCTTTCTATTTTTATTCTGCTCGGTCTATTTTATTTCCTTCATTTTACCCTTTCAGTTCTAAAAAAAGAAAAAGAACAGGAAAGGCTGGAGAACAGGAACATGGCAGGTGAAATCCTGGGTCTACTGAAGTCAATGACAAAACTCTCTTTGATGTCACTGGGGCCTATGTATTTACTTATTATGCACTGTATGGCTCACAAGAGCTGCTACTTGGGCCAGCAGTATTCAGAAAGGTCTTTGTACATAGCTCATTTAAACAGAGATGTATTGGAATCGTTTAATAAATCCTTTAGGGTGTCACATTTTCTAAAAACATGTTTTTGTAAAAGAGCCGTACTGTTGGGAAAGATATCTTCTCACATAGTCTATCCTCCGTTTTGGTGGTGGTGGTGGGTGTGGGGGGGTATGTGTGTTACAATAGTGATCCATTGATAGCGCAAGAGTCAAACAATAGGAACAGAGGAGCTGTTACAGATTTAACAATTTTATTAAGATGATGTTAAAAAAAATAGTGAACAGAGTTTGAGCATAGAAGTTTCTGGTTATCAGGGAATAAGATACAGATTAGCAAGGGTGCAAAGTTTGGTTTAAGATAAGGTGGCATGAGGAATACATAATCTGCTATGCATTGATCCAACACCTCTGCTATTGTGCTTCCATCAGTGGCCTAAATGTACCTGATGCTCCGGAGGAAGGCTCCAGAGAGCCTGTGATATGCAGACTATCATTTCTAGAAGGAAAGACCAGAACCACACACTCTCCTTTTAAGATTAGATTCACATTCCACATGCAAGTAAATACAAGTTTCCATCCATGCCTTATAATGTGTCAAGGAACTCTGAAGAACTCTCATGACTATTAGGGAGGACAGAATATCCATTAAACCCTCCACCCTGCAAAAACAGTCCAACCCACAAACCTATTTTAATGCAAAATTCAATCCCCTTTGTACCTTATGTTGACTCCTGAGAGTTGGGATGTTGCAGATTTGCCAGCTTTAAGGATTGGGATGTCTTAATAGGCTGCAAAGTTTTGCTTTGGGACCTTCCCTGCTGCAAGACTGTTATATATGGCTCCACACAGGCCTTCTTTATAGGTTGTTGGGTTTTTTTCAATTACCCAAGTGCCATGAAGCATCTGAAGTGAGAGTGCAGTAACTGCTAAACTCCCGCTAAAAGCCTCAATGCGTCACCACGAATCTAGAGAAGAATCCTGTATGCTGGCTCCCATCAGGCTGATGTCCATTAGACTCATTCTTCCTATAATATTTCACAATTGGGGATGGTGCCATGTACTTTCGCAGAAAGAATGCTTAATGAAACATTTACAGAAATGAGCACAGTTTTCCACAAAGGTGATAAAGTAAAAATCATGTTCACTGTACCCCTATAGACACTGTTCATTATTCTATCCTCAGATCAAGGGGGTGAGTGGGACTGTAAACTAAATGTCCCTCTTCTGGAGACCTGGGGGACATCATAAATGAACATGATCTTGGTAGATTCATCCTACCCCACCGTGGATTTTAGTCTACATCACAAAATCACTGCATAATCCAACCTGATTAGTAGACTCTGTTGGAGAGAGGCTCAGGATAGGGACAGCAGGCACTGTGATGCAAGACAGGCCTAAGGTGCATTGGACTAGCTGTGTAAGAGGTCCAGTGCTGGAACAGCAGGGAACTGATTTGGTCAGGATTAAAATGCACTGGCAGTGCTACCATCTGTGGGGCCCCAAATCTAGACTAGCAGAGAAGTGAGGCAGGTAAAGATTTGGATGCCCTCACACAGCTGGGAAGTATGGAGCCCAGGACAGGAACAGCAGGGAATCATTCAGGTCAGGATTGAGGTGCAATGCCAGAGCAGGGTGGGCACCTACTTGCCTCTACTGATTTCTGTTAGCATCTCACTGCCACAAGCCTCACATCCAACCATGAACATGAGCATTTCAAAAGCTAGACTTTCCAAATAGAGACACTTCTTTTCCCTTGGAAGGGCAAAGCCTGCTCCTAACAGTTCTTCATTCAATGGCAAGTTTATTTTCTAACACAGACCTTGAGCGTCCAGCAGAGGGCGAGTTCAGGATTTGTTTAAAGAGAAACATTATTTCATTTCATTTCAACACCCCAGACAGTTCCAGCTGACTGTAGCCCCTTTTTACAGACACAGTTTAATAATAAATGTCCCTCATTGCTTTGCAAACTCTCTTTTTTCAGTAGATCTGTTGCATTTGCCTTTCATTAGTTCAAACTGCAGGAAAAAATAATGGCTACATTAAACCAATGCTCTTCAGGATCAGGGAAGAAAGGACTGGAATAATACTTATTTTTGTTGCCTACAAACAATCCCCTTTGTTTCTTTTAGAGTTCAAATTATTTACAGGTCATACAATTTTAAACCACCCTGAAGCATCCTAGCCATCAATAAGCACATCGGTAACTTTACACCGTCAGGAAAGCTGGTTCATTTAGAACACTCCAACTAATACTAGATTTTCTTCTCAGATAAGTTTTATCAGACATACTACAGATAAAGTATTGCTTCCCGCATGCCTCTTCCCCTGCCAGACATTAAAATCTCCCTTACTATAAATCGATCGTCAAGACATTTCTGTATAAAATAAAATAAACTGGGGATTTCTATCCAGTTTATATAAATGCTCTCTAACAAATTCCCACCCAAAAGGGGGGGGGGGGAGGTTTAGCGGAAAGGAAGGACATAAATACAACGCTAGGTGATTTAAATTAAGCCGGATTTATTTTTAAACACGAGTCCTAAATAGAGAGAGAGAGCGAGAGAGGAAGAGAGATAGAGAGAGAAAGAGAGAGATTTAAAAACTGGAAAAAACAAAGTTCACTTTCAATTTTCACTGCAATCCCCGGTTGGATTTGAGTAGAAACTGAAAGAACTGACAGTCTGCTGCTAGATTTTTTTCCTGACATATGTGCCTAGATATGCTATATTTTTTAACCTAAAAATATAGTTGATCAGCAAAACCCCAAAGCAAATGCTTTCTGGAGTACAGGTTAAAGGAATAGGGTGTTCAGCCCTTGAATTTAAACTACATTTCATACACACACACACACACAGAGAGAGAGAGAGCAATTACAGGGCAATCTTAGTCAATTTCATTGTTCGGCTCGGCACTGAAATGGACTTTTCCACCCATTCCCTTCGTGACCACGGACCGAAATGATCAAAATAAAATAAAATAAAATAAAGAGGGGTGAGGAATTTTACAGACAATCATGGGTGGAGGGGAGGAAGAAATGGAGAGCAAATTAAAACCAACCTCCAGTCAAATACTAAGAATACTCATTTTTTAAAAAGGCAGAACCATAAATTTAACCTCACAGCATCGACAATGAGCTGTGCTACAATGTTGATTTCAGATCTGTGGTCATTTTCTTTCTCTTTTTTTGGTGGGAGGTGAGGGGTGCCTGGTGCCAAGAGATGGCCAAAGGACAGGGATGGGGAGGGGTGGAAGGAAATAAAAGACGCTGCCTTACCTTCGTACATAGGGGCCATCGGTGCAAGAATGTGTTATTCATGGCAAAAAAAAATATTAAAACATTTAAAAAATGAAGCGAGATCTCAGCCCCCCAAACTCAATACAAATCTGCCATCTTGCGCCTGTGTCTCTCCGTATAGTCGAAGCTGCCAGCCTCCTGCATCACCGCCTCACTTCATCAGGGGGGAGACAGAAAAATCCAACCTTGATCCTGTCCATCTAACAAAAACACCACCTAAAAAAGGAGCAGGGAGTGGAAGAGGTGTGGGGAGAGTCGATGCACAGTGGACAGGTCAAGGGTGGGGGGAGGGGTGGTTAGAGGCCCCCCCCAGATTTGGGACTTTGGGGTCGGGGAAGGGGGACTCGGCCGATCCCCCTAGCTCTCAGCTCAACATGTCTGTGTGTGTTGGGGGTTTCTGCAAAAGTTGCATTGGAGGCGAGAGCGAGAGCGAGACAGAGACAGAGGGGGGGGGGAAAGCAAAGGGAGTTTGCAAATAATCAAATACCGATGGCACTGATCGCAGTTTCCCAGAAGGGGAGAGAGAGAGAGAGAGAGAAACCCTCTACTGAGATTATGTGGGATCTTGTTTAACAACACATTTCAATCAGGAGAAAAAAGGAACAGTCAACAGAAGTTGGTGAAACAGTTCTGTCTCCCTCTCTCTCTCTCTTTACAGAAAAGAAAAAAAGCAGCTGATTGAAGCTTTGCAATTCACTGGCTGTGGGGATCATATAATTTGAGCTGATGTTTTACAATAGCATGGAAAATTCCTACCTCTCACCCCCCTTCCCCAAATAAATCTTCTGTTCCCTCTAGGCATTTCACAATCTGTTTTTCTGACAAAAGTTCCGGGGATTTTTAAGTCCATTCTTCCCATTTAAGTCCAGTTTTGTGGTGTAAATATTTAGAGGGTGCATGTAAAACAAACATTCATTGTTGCTTTCAGAATTATTCATTTTAAAGAACCATATCAAATAAGTGTTTACTTATGGAGACTGACAGCTAATGACCCTCCTCCTGTTTTCATTTTAACAGATCTATCTCTTTCCCTCAGTTATTGCTGGGGAAATGCCAGTCCTCTCAAAATCATTTATCAGCATGTTGACATATGCTGTAGGTAAAGCCTTTATTTTCTAAGCATCTTTCATCCAGTGGTTCCTCAGTACTTCACAAAGAAAGGCAAATAACCGTATGCCCATTATACCAGTGAGGAAACTGAGGTACAGAAAGGTTAAGTGACAGCAAATTCTATGGCAAAGGTGGAACCAAAAACTAGGACCCCGATTGTCCAATAACCCCTGCATGGGTCTGCCCACACAGAGCTCTTTGCAAGATCGGGGCCTGGGACCAGATCTTCACAAGCGCTCAACGGCTCCCATTTAGGCACCTAAATGAAGTGGCAGGAATTTTATAAGTGCTAAACACCCAACAACTTCATTTAGGTGCCTAACTGGGAGTTGAACTCTTTTGACAAGAATAGCAGTCTCCTACTCTAGGCCCTGGACACCACTGCGCCTTAATTACAGATTGTCACCATCCTCATTTCCTAAATCATGGTTCCCGTCTTCTTAATCCCACAACTCTCTTGTTATAATTGGAGGTCATTTGTCTGTCTAGGTCACTAATATTTACTACATAAACCTGTTTCTGCATCCTGCTTCCTGACTAGAACACCAGCTAGTGGGGTGCATTTCAGGACTGCTGAAGCAAACATGGAATAATTCTGGAGGGTAGCAGAGGACAGAGGGAAGGGAAAGGAGTAGAAGTTAGGGGGGATGGGTTCTTTTTCTGGCTCTGCATCTGCCTTGCTGTGTGACCTTGGGTAAGTCACCTCAGTCTGTGCCTCAGTTTTCTCAGCTGTAAAAAGGGGATAATAGTCAGTGAACGTGGAAATGCCGTTTTCCCTTTTTTCAGTTTGAGCTATATTGTAGCCCTTGATTTCTGCATGAATTTTACTTTTGCCAAAGCCAAAATGACACATGAACTTGAAAACTCAGGGGACTTTTGCTAGGTTTTTTTTTTTTTTTTTCAAAATTATGAAGTGGATTGCATTTTGACTGGATGCAGCAGAGCAGCCATCTTCAGGGCTTTCCCTTTGTGGGTCACTAGCTAAGTATGGAGAGTTTCAGCTACACAGATGTGGATATTAAATGCATACACAGGCATTTAAAACCTCTTGCTTCAGGCTTAAGTCAATTTCTAACTATTGAGGTTTAGGACAAGACCATCCTGGGAGACAGACTATCCCACATCTGTAGGAGACAGTATACTGGACTAGATGGACCAGGGTAATTGCTGCGTTTGGTTAGGATTTATTAACACTACAAAAATAACCAGACCAGATCCTCTGCTGGTGTAAATGGGCACAGCTTTAGTGAAATCAGTGGAGCTGTGTCCCTTTACACCAGTTTAGGATGCCCCTTCTCCCCCCATTTAAATACTTCTGAAAGTAAGCTTGTGATCTGATCACATTCTTGCCTGTGTCGGCAGAAAAAAATAGTTCTGCCCATGGCCCAGGTCATCTCCTGGATATAGCACCTGGACAAGGCCCCCACCACATGTAGGCCACCCCTGCAATAACACTGATCTCCTTCCCCACCTCACACAGAACCCCCTCTGGAAGTGTCTCTGTGGTTTCTAGGGGCAGGATGGGCTAGAGCACAAGAGGCACCACTCTTTGCTACATTTTTTCCCCTGCTCTCCCCTTAGGAGACAGCAGAGCTCAGACCTGTTTTACCTCCCTCTGGGTTCCTTCCAAACTGGGTACACCACAGAGGGACCTAGCCACTGTGGCTTCAGCGGCCCCTCCGGGATGGTTCCAGGCTCTGCATGAAAAAGTTTGCCCTTCCCCACGGATGCCTGAGATTCACAGGCCTAGGAAGGCACCCTGCCACTCAAATTTGCAGGCCCTGAACCCTGCCCACCAGAGAGGACCCTCCTAGTGTATTTCTCCTCTTTAGCCCCTTCCCACAGGTTTTCCACAGAAGGCAGAGATCTAGTGTGTGTTAGGAAAGCACATCCGAATTTGTTGTATTATGTATTTTCATATGTTGATTGCTTTGAATTTATCCTAAGTGCCCCCGTGCTCTGGATACTTTTACAAATAGATAATACTAATAAAATATAGTATATACATAGAACCTCATGAACTGCCCAGGCAATAGCATTATCAGTTTTGTCCAGCATGACTCAAAGGCAATAGCAGGAGATACTTAGTCTGGGAGATGGTCTTGTTAGGGCACTGGACTGTGACTCAGAAGATCTGGTTCTGTTTCTGGCTCTACCACGCAAATTCTGGGTGACCTTGGGCAAATTACTCCATCTCTCTCTGTCCCTCCGTTTCCCCATTGTGGGGATAATCATGTGACGTTGTGCAGTCTATATGGTTTTATAAAAACATAATAAGTGAATATAATGTAACTGGAATATGCTTCATGCAAAAGGTCTCTTGTAAGGTATCATTACAAAGCTTATAATCTACTGAGTGTGATCATCCCATTTGTATAAATGTACCACTCTTGTATCTAAAACTAGAAATATGAAATATAACTCTGAGGGCCTATTGTAATTATGTAAAGTGTGGGCCATTAATGATGGTTTGGAATCTTGGTGACTCCCATTAACCAGGACCATTGTCTGCAGATGGCTGTGTTTACCTGTTAGTCTTCCTGTATATGTGTGTGCTGGCAAGTGGGCAATGAAGTCTTGCAGTGACATGTGATCATGTCACCTGAACTGAAATACATCTTTAACCTGGTGCTTTTCCAGTGAGGGGGGGTGGAAACCCAGAGGGACAAAGGGTTCCCGCCTTATGCAAAAGATATATAAAGGGGTGGAAGAGAACAGAGAGGGAGAGAAGCCATCATGAAGAATCCCCTAGCTATCACCTGAGCTGCAACAAGAGCTGTACCAGGGGAAAGAATTGTGCCCAGGCCTGGAAGGTGTCCAGTCTGAGAAAAACTTACTGAAGCATCTCTGAGGGTGAGATTATCTGTATTTAGTTTGATTAGACATAGATTTGCGCATTTTATTTTATTTTGCTTGGTGACTTACTTTGTTCTGTCTGTTACTACTTGGAACCACTTAAATCCTACTGTCTGTATTTAATAAAATCACTTTTTATTTAGTAATTTACTCAGAGTATGTATTAATACCTGAGGGAGCAAACAACTGTGCATATCTCTCTATCAGTGTTATAGAGGGCGAACAATTTATGAGTTTGCCCTGCATAAGCTTTATGCAGGGAAAAATGGATTTATTTGGGTTTAGACCCCATTGGGAGTTGGGCATCTGAGTGCTAAAGACACGCACACTTCTGTGAGCTGTTTTCAGGTAAACTTGCAGCTTTGGGACAAGTGATTCAGACCCTGGGTCTGTGTTGCAGCAGACGGGAGTGTCTGGCTCAGCAAGACAGGGTGCTGGGGTCCTGAGCTGGCAGGGAAAACAGGAACAGGGGTAGTCTTGGTACATTGGGTGGCAGCTCCCAAGGGGGTTTCTGTGATCCAACCCATCAAAAATCATTTTTATGTGACTTGTCTATTTCGACTGTAAGCCCTTTGGAACAGGGACTGTCTCTTCCTCTGCCTTTGTACTGCTTGGAGCCTCTTAGTGCTACAATTATACAAATAGTAATAGGTTCCTAGTCTAAAGTATGGATACAACATGTTTTTCTGCCCAGAAATGGCAAGAAAGCTAAAAAAAATATTGTAACACATCTGTTGTTTTGGGGGGATAATCATTTTTAAACATGGTTGTAGGGTTTCATTCACATACATGGGGTCAGAACATGGTACATGGCGTGAGGCAAAGCCTGATCAAGTCAATGGAAAGATTCTCACTGACTTTAATGGCCCTTGGATGAGGCTGATCGCACAAACATAGCAGTAGAATAAGAGCAGGATGCAGCCATTTGTGTTGTAGCTGAGCGGCAGACAACACCTCTTTGAGTTCTGGGCTCACTTCCTGGTGGGGCCAGGTGGTGATCACGAATAGGCCCCTGGTAAGGTGTGTGGAGGAGTGGTCAGCAATAATCTGTTCCTACTGGGATACAATCTCAGCTGTCTGGACCCATCTGAGACACACCGCCAAAGCTCGCCTCAGGATGTGCACCAGGTTGTGTGACGCTCCCTGGCAGGAGGACAGCTGTGAGTGCCAACCTCTGATGAAGGGGAAGCAGGGTTAGCAACAGTGTAAGCTCACTGCTGGGTGGGGTATGGTGCTGTCCTAGGTACAACAGATATCTGGTTGTTCCCATCACTGGCTCCTTGGCCGTGAAGAGAGGACCATTGTCAAGTGGGAGAGGCTTGTCACAAAGTGCAGAAGGGCCGTGGCAGACTAGGAGAGTGTTTATGCCCTCTAAGGGCTAGGGCTGCTCACAGTGAGGATATGGGACCTGCTAGCTAGAGGAGTG